CAGGGGTCAGGGGCCTGGGGGGTGGGGCTGGCCAAGGCAGGGTGATAGGGGGCTGGGGGACTGGGCGGGGCCATTGGGGGGTCCCCCCCCATGGTCCCTTCCAGCCACCCCGACGCCTTACTGGCACCGGAGCCCTGGTGCTGAAACGTGGCCTCATCGGCCCTGTGTTTGAGCAGCTGGGGGAGGGGCCAACCATAGAGATGCTCTGACAGCCAGAGTGTCTCCATGGAGGACCCAGCCTCCGGTTGCCTATGGTCCGAGACCATGCCCTGCTCCACTTTTTTAAACTTTGCTTTTTTTTAGACCCCATCCAGGGGTCTACTTTTCTCCCCCTGCTGCCAACTTACAGCGCGGGGAACATTTTTTTGCTCCTGCACTGTCTGCTGCCTCACCTCAAAGAGGTTTGGGACGGGGCAAGAGGCACATGCACCCTCATCTGGACACGCCCCTAATGTCTTGTGCAGCTGTATTTTTCCTTTTATTGGTGAAGTTCATGATGTTTGAGCAGAAAAGTCTACTCACAGAAGCAACAGGCTTTACACCTGTGTGGCTGTATTAATGAATGTCCAGTGCTGGATAGGATTGTGGCAAATCCCCAGAGCAGGTAGAGCCTGAAAAGGGATCATGCGTTTGCACTTCTAAGGGATCATGCATTTGCACTTCTAGATCTCTTGTTCTTATCTGTTGCAGCTATGGTTTTTATGTGCAGTTGTTTCTCTTTTGTGTGGAGGCCCCTCCTCCCACAACCCTGCTTTGACTGTCTGGTACTTGTTTTGAGCAGAAGCAGCAAACTGAAACTGATGTTAATTAGCCATTTCTACGGTGCCTTGAAAGCAAGAAGTCATCTGCTGAGATTGGTCAGGTTGAGTAGTACCTGGAACCTTACGATCTGTAGAAATTACAGGGTTTTCTTTAGGGCTTTTATGGCCATAAAAAATCCCTCCACAATGTGAACAACATTGCTTTTTCATACCGAGTCAGCAGATGGCTAGATAAAAAATGACAGCTGTAACAGAAACAGGAATTGCACATGCACTCTATTGTGGACCCAGTGGTCACCAACCAGTGGATCTTGATTTACCGGTCAATCTCGGAGCCTCTTGGAGTTGATTTGAGGCTGGGGTGGGGGGCTGAAGGCCCAGGTGCATGTGCGTGCCCCAGCCCAGCAGGTCAGTCCGTGGCAGAGGAAAGGTGGCTGGGGCCAGATTAAGTGCCCCCACCCCCCAGTGAAGGAGGAAGTGGGGCTAGGGTTGGGGCCTTGATTTGCTTCACTGCTTCCCCCACAGACTTACCTGCTGCAGAGGTGGGCTGCTAAATAATTTTTTCTCCATCTCCTCCCCCCCTTCCTTTCCTCCCCACAGACTTACTGGTGGGGCGCATGGTACATTTGGGTTGATTTTTAAATGCCAAAGGTGATCTTCTACTTTAAAAGGTTGGAGACCACTGCGATAGGGTTTTAATGATTCATTAAATTGGCAGTTTTAGTGGCTCTGTTAACATTGACTATTTTAGGAGCTGCTTCCAGCTCATTTTGGAAGAATGGACAGAGCTGAGCAGGGTACAACATTTCTCTGTTTTTGACTTCTGTGTGCTTCCAGGCCTCTTGTTCTTCCACTGAATGGTAGCTGCCCCCCTATTTCTCTTGACCATTTTGTAATTGGTCTGTTTCACCCTAGTGTCTCAAACCTGCCCTCAGGAGAAAATCATTTTGGGAACAAAAAATGTGCTCTCTGTTATGTAAGTAAAGCTTTTGGAGAAGATTCCTCCAGGGATCATCATAAGGCACCATGAGTTTTTTCCCTTACTGTTATCAGATATCTGAATAATGCATCTTCATCAGTTTGTTTCTGTTGTATCGAGTTTAGAGAACAGTTAGTTTTAAAAAATGGGATGTCTCCACTTTGTTGGATTATAAACTGGAATGCTATTGCTCTGATAATGTTAAACAATTGCTGTAGTGTATTTGTGTAGTGCTCCATGTGGCAGGTCCACATATTAGTTGAAACTTGTGCCAATGAGCAGCTTCTAATACTCCTATTTGGCAACTGGGAAAAACTGCAGTTAGCTCTGTTTGCTGGTTCCTTTTCCATCTAGTTAGGAAGATTGGGCTTTTCGGCATCGTGAGTGATTCTGGAACCCCTCAGACTTGAACAATAGCAAGATGGTCCTGTTTTTCTCCTTTCCTGTGTCTTGTAGCATGTCAGGAGATGGGTCTGGGCTTTCCAATATCTAGCAGTCTTAATAAGGCAGTGAGGTGACTAGCTAATTTACAGCCTACCTTAGAGTGGGTACCATGGCATAAAGCCCTGTTGTCTTTAACCCAGAGAAGATCTTATGGGGTAGGGAATAATGCATTTAGGGGCAGCCAGAAGTGGAGCAGCAGCACTGGAGTTTGACAGCATTGACTGAATCCTTCTCCCCTCTTCCTCC